TATAGGTCCATGGAGCTGGGACCAAGCTAGTTGTTCAGCGCGCGATTTTACGTCGTTGAGATCAACTTTTGGTTGATGACGTCACTTCCGGGTTTCATGACGTCATTTCTGTTTTATGACGTCATTTTCAGTTTTTTAAAAGGTTATATCTCGTAAACTATAGGTCCTATGGAGCTAGGACCAAGCTAGTTTTCTTCAGCGCGCGATTTTATGTCGTTTGAGATCAACTTCCGGTTTGATGACGTCACTTCCGATTTTGTGACGTCATTTCTGTTTTAAAGACGTCATTTCCGGTTTTCTAAAAGGCCATATCTCGTAAACTATAGGTCCTATGGAGCTGGGACCAAGCTAGTTTTGTTCAGCGCGCATTTCAAGTCGTTCGAGATCAACTTCCGGTTGATGACGTCACCTTCCGGTCTGAACGTCATTTTCTGTTTTTTGACGTCATTTCCGGTTTTCTAAAAGGCCATACTCGTAAACTATAGGTTCTATGGAGGTGGGACCAAGCTAGTTTTGTTCAGCGCCCGATTTTACGTCGTTCGAAATCAACTTCCGGTTTGATGACGTCTTTTCCGGTTTGATGACGTCATTTTCTGTTTTTATGACGTCATTTCCGGTTTTCTAAAAGGCCATACCTCGTAAACTATAGGGCCTATGGAGCTGGGAACGCTAGTTTTGCAGCGCGCGATTTCACGTCGTTTGAGATCAACTTCCGGTTTGATGACGTAATTCCGTTTGATGACGTCATTTTCTGTTTTTATGACGTCATTTTCCGGTTTTCTAAAAGGCCATATCTCGTAAAACTACAGGCCCTATGGAGCTGGGACCCACGCTAGTTTTTCGCGCCCGATTTACGTCGTTTGAGATCAACTTCCGGTTTGATGACGTCACATCCAGTTTGATGACGTGATTTTCTGTTTTTATGACGTCAGTTCTGGTTTTCTAAAAGGCCATATCTCGTAAACTATAGGTCCTATGGAGCTGGGACCAAGCTAGTTGTTTCAGCGCGCGATTTCACGTCGTTGAGATCAACTTCCGGTTTGATGACGTCACTTCCGGTTGAGACGTTTATTCTGTTTTTATGACGTCATTTCCGGTTTTTCTAAAAGGCCATATCTCGTAACATAGGTCTATGAGCTGGGACCAAGCCAGTTTTGTTCAACGCACGATTTACGTCGTTTGAGATCAACTTCCGTTTGATGACGTCACTTCCCGTTGATGATGTAATTTCTGTTTTTATGACGTCATTTCCGGTTTTCTAAAAGGCCAATCTCGTAAGTATAGGTCCTATGGAGCTGGGACGAATCTAGTTGTTCAACGTGCGATTTCACGTCGTTTGAGATCAACTTCCGGTTTGATGACGTCACCCGTTGGTTTTACGTCATTTCTGTTTTATGACGTCATTTCCGGTTTTTCTAAAAGGCCATATCTCGTAAACTATAGGTCCTATGGAGCTGGGACGAAGCTAGCTTTTTATTCAGCGTGCGATTTCACGTCGTTTGAGATCAACTTACGGTTTGATGACGTCACGCCCCGTTTGATTACGTCATTTTCTGTTTTTATGACGTCATTTCCGGTTTTCTAAAAGGTCATATCTCGGTAATAAGGTCCTATGGTGCTGGACCAAGCTAGTTTTGTTCAGCGCGCGATTTTACGTCGTTTGAGATCAACTTCCGATTTGATGACGTAACTTCCGGTTTGATGACGTCATTTTTATTTTTATGACGTCATATTCGGTTTTCTAAAAGGCCATATCTGGTAAACTATAGGTCCTATGGAGCTGGGACCAAGCTAGTTTTGTACAACGCGCGATTTCACGTCGTTTGAGATCAACTTCCGGTTTGATGACGTCACTTGCGGTTTGATGACGTCATTTTCTGTTTTTATGACGTCATTTCCGGTTTTCTAAAAGGCCATATCTCGTAAACTATAGGTCCTATGGAGCTGGGACCAAGCTAGTTTTTTTCATCGCGCGATTTTACGTCGTTTGAGATCAACTTCCGGTTTGATGACGTCACTTCAAGTTTGATGACGTCATTTTCTGTTTTTATGACGTCATTTTCGGTTTTCTAAAAGGCCATATCTCGTAAACTATAGGTCCTATGGAGCTTGGACCAAGCTAGTTTTGTTCCGCGCCCGATTTTATATCGTTTGAGATCAACTTCCGGTTTGATGACGTCACTTCGGTTTGATGACGTCATTTTCTGTTTTTATGACGTCATTTCTAGTTTTTTAAAGGCCATATCTCGTAAACTATAGGTCCTATGGAGCTGGGACCAAGCTAGTTTTGTTCAGCGCGCGATTTTACGTCGTTTGAGGTCAACTTCCGGTTTGATGACGTCACTTCCAGTTTGATGACGTCATTTTCTGTTTTTATGACGTCATTTCCGGTTTTCTAAAAGGCCATATCTCGTAAACTATAGGTCCTATGGAGCTGGGACGAAGCTAGTTTTATTCAGCGTGCGATTTCACGTCGTTTGAGATCAACTTACGGTTTGATGACGTCACGCTGGTTTGATTACGTCATTTTCTGTTTTTATGACGTCATTTCCGGTTTTCTAAAAGGCCATATCTCGTAAACTATAGGTCCTATGGAGCTGGGACCAAGCTAGTTTTGTTCAGCGCGCGATTTTGCGTCGTTTGAGATCAACTTCCGGTTTGATGACGTCACTTCCAGTTTGATGACGTCATTTCTGTTTTTATGACGTCATTTTCGGTTTTCTAAAAGGCCATATCTCGTAAACTATAGGTCCTATGGAGCTGGGACCAAGCTAGTTTTGTTCAGCGCGCGATTTTACGTTGTTTGAGATCAACTTCCGGTTTGATGACGTCACTTCCGGTTTGATGACGTTTTTTCTGTTTTTATGACGTCATTTCCAGTTTTCTAAAAGGCCATATTTCGTAAACTATAGGTCCCATGGAGCTGGAACCAAGCTAGTTTTGTTCAGCGCGCGATTTTACGTCGTTGGAGATCAACTTCGTGTTTGATGACGTCACTTCCGGTTTGATGACGTCATTTTCTGTTTTTATGATCAAAATCATCATAATGAGCATCATAGTTGCCATGGCAACCATCATTTATTATGATTAATATGCTAATTATGATCAAGATCATCATAATGATCATCATAGTTGCTATGGCAACCATCATTTAATATGATTAATATGCTAGTTATGATCAAAATGATGATAATGATCATCATGGTTGCCATAGCAACCATCATTTTTTATGATTAATATGCTAATTATGATCAAGATCATCATAATGATCATCATGGTTGCCATAGCAACCATCATTTATTATGGCTAATATACTAATTATTTTCAAAATCATCATAATGAGCATCATTGCCTGCTTCCTTGCAGGAAATACATACCAGATATTGTGACGACAACATATAATCTAAGAACTCCAAGAACTCTACCTTAGTTCTTCTCTCATACCAATAGGCATAAACTTTCGTTTATTCCAAGGACTAATGCACTATTATAGACATAATTTTAAAATCGTAAATTTATTATATTTGTATATATACATACATTTTAATCATATTTAGTAATTGTAAATCCATTGTAATTTTATACTTAAGATAGATAAATAAATTATTATTAAATTATTATTAAAAAAAAATCATTGTTGCCATGGCAACCATCATTTATTATGAGTAATATGCTAATTATGATCAAAATCATCATAATGATCACCGTAGTTGCCATAGCAACCATAATTTATTATGAATAATATGCTAATTATGATCAAGATCATCATGATCGTCATAGTTGCTATGGAAACCATCATTTATTACGATTAATATGCTAATTATGTTAAAAATCATCATAATGAGCATCATGGTTGCCATGGCAACCATCATTTACTATGATTAATATGCTAATTATGATAAAAATCATGATAATGATCATCATGGTTGCCATAGCAACTATCATTTATTATGATTAATATACTAGTTATGATCAAGATCATCATGATCATCAGAGTTGCTCTGGAAACCATCATTTATTACGATTAATATCCTAATTATGATCAAAATCATCATAATGAGCATCATGGTTGCCATGGCAACCATCATTTAATATGATTAATATGCTAATTATGATAAAAATCATGATAATGATCATCATGGTTGCCATGGCAACTATCATTTATTATGATTAATATGGTAATTATGATCAAGATCATCATAATTATCATCATAGTTGCTATGAAAACCATAATTTATTATGATTAATATGCTAATTATGATCAAGATCATCATAATGATCATCATAGTTGCCATAGCAACCATCATTTACTATAATCAATAAGCTAATTATGATCAAAATCATCATATTGATCATCAAAGTTGCCATGGCAACCATCATTTATATTATTATGATCATGATCAAAATCATCATAATGAGCAACATAATTGCCATTGCAACCATCATTTATTATGATTAATATGCTAATTATGATCAAAATTATCATAATGATCATCATGGTTGCCAAAGCAACCAACATTTATAATGATTAATATGCTATTTATGATCAAAATCATCATAATGCTTATCATAGTTGCCATAACAACCATCACTTACTATGATCAATATGCTACATAAGATCAAAATCATCATATTGATCATCACAGTTGATATGGCAACCATCATTTATTATGATTAATATGCTAATCATGATCAAAATCATCATAATGAGCATAATAATTCCATGGCATCTATCATTTATTATGATTAATATGCTAATTAAGATCAAAATCATCATAATGATCATCATGGTTGCCATAGCAACCAACATTTATTTTGATTAATATGCTATTTATGATCAAAATCATCATAATGAGAGTCATGGTTGCCATGGCAACCATCATTTATTATGAATATTATGATTGGTCACGGGACCTAAAGACGACGCAATCAGCAGTGTAAAAGGTCTGGTTTTAAATGCAAGAAGTTTGACAAGCTCCGTTAAAACTGACAACAATACAATGGAAAGTAATTTAAATCGTTTTCAAAACCTTGTTTACTCCGAAGGTTTTGGTATTGTCTGTGTTAATGAAACTTGGCTCTCAGGACATATCTACAACTCTGAAATTCTACACTCGGGTTATTCTATTATCAGAAAAGATCGTAAAACGCGAGGTGGTAGAGTTTTGCTGGGAATCAAGACCGCAATGTTTAACTCTGTGCGTGAAATCAAACACAATCATGACCTCGAAATTGCTATGGCTGAAGTAACAACTGCGAAAGACATAAAAATGCTTATTTGCTCATGTTACCGTCCACCAGATGCTGACCAAACTTGGATCGATAAATTTGAAACTTTTCTTCATGATGTTTGCACACGTCATTCAAAAATTGTAATTGCAGGTGATTTCAATTTCGCGCGCGCAGGCTGGAACTCGCGAGATAATTACACTGACGTTAATGAGAATCCATTTACGAAATTATTAAACGACTTTTTCTTGGAACAAATGAATAGATCTCCTACCATAGGCGAAAACATTCTCGATCTTGTTATTACCACTGATCCCGACCGTGTGAAGATAATCGAAGTCTTGAAACCAAGTGATTCAGACACTTCCACCGACCACAATGCTATCATTTTCGATCTCTTCCTCTCATACAATCCTTTCCCTAAGTTAAAACGAACGGTGTTTGATTACCGACGCAGTGACTTCGATGGTCTTCGAAGGCATCTTCAAACCCTCGATCTCAGTCAACACATATCAGAGAATGGCGAAATCAACCAGGATTGGATATCGTGGAAAAATGCGTTTTTGGAAGCGGTATCGAAATTTGTGCCAACAAAAACACTCCGAGATCGAAACCATCTCCCTTGGATGAACAGCACGATACTTCATTACATCAAAAAGAAAAACTCCATTAGAATAAGGATTAAAAGATCCTGCCATCCAAGTGATCACCTCAAAAAAAGGTTTCGAGAGGTCCGCACGACAATCAAAAGAATGTTGCGTGATGGTCGCTTGGACTATATCAACTCCATATGTTCTTCTCGAGAGTACAATCCAAAACGTTTCTGGTCGTTTTTCAAGATTAAGTCGAAAGTTTCCAATATTCCATTAAAAGTCTCGGTCAAAACTAGCGAAAATCAAAGAATGTATTTCGATAATAACGCTGAGATTGCAAACACTTTTAACGAATACTTCGCATCGATCTTCACTAGCGACACCGCCAACGACTTCAATCCAGAACAGCATCCGGAACCGGACAATATTCTCGAAGACATTACTCTGACTAACGACGAGGTGTCAACGGTGTTAAAGGACATTGGCAACGAAAATTTTTATTGCCCATTTCTATTATATGTACCTATGGAATACTTAATTCCCCATTTTCGCCTTACCATCAGGTTTTGATTTCGCTAAAATTTGAAATAAAGTTGAATTATTGTCCGCCATTTTGAAAAAAGATGTTCATGCTAATTTATGTCAGAATACATTACTGACGTCATTGGCTGGGTTCGGCCAAATAGATATCAGTTGAATACAACATTCCGTAATGATAACAAAAGGTAAAAGCAGTATAGGGAAGCGCAAATAACGGAAAATGTGTAACAATTAGGTAGCGATGTTCTCTGCAATAGTTTGCTCCAAATCTTAGTATATACGTTATAATAAGCGCGTATATTAGACGTGTATAGTTAAATGCGCTTACGCTTCAGATGCCGACTGCAATAATATATCTAATTTAGCAAGTGTTTATGTGCAACACTTTCGACTCTGTGGCCTTTTAAACGCGCTAACGCTTCCGATGCCGACGAAGTAATCTTCGAAAATATTTTAACGCAAACAAATCAAATTTGGAAAGTCTTCATGTGCAACACTTTCGCCGCTGTGCCGCAATTGTGAATTGTTTTAATCGGAAGCCGGGAAGCAAAGCTTGTGAAATAATATACAAGTCGGCATGACAAAATGACAGCACATTAGATCATATGTTGGTATTATGTTGACATGTGTTTGCATTCATGGTTTATCCGGATGCAGGTGCTGCTGCCGAAATAGCTGTGAAGCGCTTGTAAAAAGAGCGTATCCTTTCTCATTTTCGCATTCAGTCCGAAATGCGAAGGTGAAAACATGTATTGCCCGGTTTACGGTTGTAATAGCGACTTCAAAAAAAAACGAGTGCTATCAATTTCTTTCGGTTTCCAAGTGGAAAATCGGCAGCTCAGCAGAAGAGAAGAAAAATTTGGATAGATTTTTGCAAGAGGAAAGGTTTCGAGCCATTGGCGAACAGTAGAATTTGTTCTCTTCATTTCGCTGAAGACGCCTACCAACCTGGACATTCGCCACAATTTTTGAAGCAAATAGAGTGTCAGGAGTCGTTTCGCGTTCAGTTGAAAAGCGATGCTGTGCCAACCTTGAATAAACCTTTGCCTGAAACAGGTTCAAGTAAAACAAGGATTTTTACAGAAAAAAGACAGCGTAAAAAGGTAATATAGAAATATGACGAGAACGTTTCGTTAGGAAGTGTAGAGATTATAGTTGAGAGCCGTAGAGGCTTACATATGCGGTAAAATAGAGTTATTCACACATATAGCATGGTAGGCATTACTGAATTTTACGCCAATAATACAAACATTTGTAATCATTTATAGAAACTCGAAGACCTTCTAGAAGCAAGTAAATCTCACAAAACGATTCATCTTCAAGTGAAAATGAATCCGAAGCCGAAGGGCCACAAAGTTTCTCTAATTTGGAGACGTTAGACGAAATACCCAACATTCAAAGCACAGAGGAAGACCGAGTGGAGAAACAGATGAAGATTTTAAACACAAGAGAAAGGTCAACACAAACAAGGAAAAAACAAGGGACCAGGTCGATCAGAACACAAACGACATCCACTTCGTTTTTGACCTCTTTGGAAGCGCAAACGGTTGTGAGCGACAGTGATAACATGCCTTCACGTGATGTTGAAACAGAAACACCAGATTTCGTGCAATCTACGATTACAGACGTTGACGTTGAGAGCATGCGGAGCAGCAGTTCAAGCCAGAGCCCATAACAGTTGGCTTACATAGTGACTTTGACATTCCAGAGGAATCGTCGTCCACTCTCAGTGACGACAGCAGCGGAGAAGATACCGATTCTGACGAACGAAGAGTTCTAGAGCATGGCAAGTCCCCACAAGACCAGATCAAATTTATTGTCTTCGAAGAAGCAATTCTAGATGTCTTTGGTCAATGCGGTCAGTGTGGTGCAAAATGTGTTGTGACCATTGCAAGTCAAATTGGTTCCTCGTGTTGCATTGGTGTCACATGTACGGTCCAGCCTGAGCATAATTTTCAGTGGACGACTGGTCCCTCGTTATCCAAAATGCCAGTATTTCATCTGCTGCTAGCATCTGGCATTCTCGCAACCGGAATGGAATCCTCAAAAGTTCTTCGTCTATTTCGTTCGCTGAACATTCCTAACCTGAAGCAACGGGAGCTGTCGAATATCTTAAAGAATTATGTCATTCCCTCAGTTTATGAAGTGTGGAAAGGGGAACAATCCGCTAGGTTACGGGATATAGGAGATGAACGAATTGTCATTGCATCGGATATGCGCGTTGATAGTCCTGGTCACAGTGGGCTTTTTGGATCAGGCAGTACGCTGGACATGGGACGGAATATCATATTAGATACCCAAGTAATCAAAGTAAGTTTGAAACCTAAATATGGGAAATTTAATATAAAATTCCCAGTAAAATAAAATTGGATGAAGAAATGTGCTCTTTGGATATCTAAGTTCTTTACATATTCTTGTTTTTTAAGTCCACTGAAGTGAAGAATTCCAACGCTATGGAACTGGAATCCCTTAAGAGACAGTTGAAATACTTGGAGGACAATGGCACTAAAGTTGACAAGTTAGTTACAGATAGGCATATCCAAGTGTCCGCATACATGGCAAATGAGAAGCCACAGGTGGAGCATGCCTATGATGTATGGCATGTAGCAAAGGGTACAGTAAAACATTATAACAAATAAATCTGAAAATAATTCGCTTTATATGCCAATTATACCCTTTTTGGTGACCTGCAATACCAATATAATAAACATGAAATTAAAATCAGGAATTTCTAATTTTCAAGGAGAAAAAAAGAAGCTAACAAAAGTCGCCAAGAAAAAGAAATTCAGGAAAATTCAGCCATGGATTGGGGTATCTATATAAATATAATTCTGTATCAGTTTACATAGCAAAAAACAATTGTCATTGGTTATCTTAGTTATTAATATTTTTTCATTTACTTGACAGTCAATCATTAATCATATTTATTGGGTTGGTGACTCCAGTGAGACTGAGGATGAAAGAGAGGAAAAATGGCGCAGTATTCTAAACCATATAATCAATGTTCATGAACATGCTGGCCATAAAGTGTTTGTAAAATGTCTCCATGGCACAATTGAAAGAGACTGGATTAAAAAAGGTTATATAAAAATAGAGCAACACTATGGATGAATATATATATATATATATATATATATATATATATATATATATATATATATATATATATATATATATATATATATTGTAATGTGTGTATACATGATTACAGGATCAGCTGCTCACAAAAAATTGGAAGAGATGTTAACAAGGCCACGGCTCATTTCTGCAATCCGCAAGTTATCGAAATATCATCAGACATCTGGTTTGGAGGCCAAACATGCTTTAGACAACTTACTGGCCTCAAAGAACACTTATCATTCCTATCATTCATTGAGTGCAAGGTAAAATTTTTAAGTTTGGCCAACACACTGTTTGAAAATTGTGACATGCAAAAGGCTTTATTATCTTATGTGTATTTCAAACCAGATTGTACTGTTCAAACTTGCACTACAATGAAAACAGCAACAGAAAGCAGGCAACAACTGCTGATGGAAAGCTGAGATGGGCCATATCTTATCCAAAGGCTTTTAAAGGAGAGAAAGCTGTGGCAAAACCTTTAAAAGAAAAACCGACCTATGGTATGAATTTCATCTTCCTGTTAAAAGGCCATATATACAGCACACTTTTAAGCAGGGAAAAAAATCAGATATTTATTATATACCAGGTTGATAAGTTCACAAATTTAAATCTAATTTTATAGAGTATGTACATTTGATATTAAGTCAAGTTATAAAACTCCGAAAGCAGTACCCTACATTGAAGAAGGCCAAAGAACATGCAAGCAATGTACTACCTCCAGAGCCACAATCACTTGTTCAACAGTACTTGGCAGGAAAGGAGAGACCCTCAAAAGAACAAGTCGTAGCTAACAAGAAGTCACGATTCAGTAAGCCAGCTTTACCTACAAGTGTAAAAAGAAAAGCTGGTGTCAATCCTTGTGCATGTAAAGGTAAATGCGCAACACGAAAATGTGACTGCAGGGCAGTGGGAACAATCTGTGATAAGGAATGCAAGTGCCAAGAGGCCAAATGTATCAATCGTGAATGAGGTATTCCTTTCACGCACAAATATATATATATATATATATATGCTCTCAATTGTACATACTTCAAGAATTAGAACCATAAAGTAAAATATTACCGTTTTGATTTTCTTGCGTATTTAAAGTGAGTGTATAAACCGTCAGGCGACTCGAAGCGTTCTCGTATCTTTGCATATACACAAGCTGGGAAGGGTCTTCGCTTTTTCTTCCCCAAGATCTGGAAAATCCACCGAGAACACCTCTGATACGCTACTAGTCGATAGAGTTTGTGTACTCTTTCTAGATCCTCATCATCAAGAGGCCAGTTTTCCTCAAGGTAACGGCACACATCGACTTTTAGCACTCCTTCTGAAAGCATGTTTTCATTGAATTCTCGATGTGTTGTAACACACTGCTTGTCTTGTGTTTCTGTTTGGTTAAGGAGAACGTCGTATTCGTCGTATTCCAATGCTTTCTCGTGGCAACAAAAACACTCAATAGTCTTGTTCGATATAGTGCAATGTCCGCATTTACACCAACTAAGAGTTTGAAGGCGCCAAGCATTTACCCTTTCAAACTCGTGATCGACTTCTTCGTCAGACGAAGACAACTCACTGTCTTGTTCGGAACCGCTTTCAGCGCTTAAATGGCCTGTTTCTGCCCCAACTTCTGGTTCATACTGGTACGGCAACACTTCTTCTACTTGATTTTTGTGTATATCTTCCATCATAACAATAAAAAGCTACAAACCTTTTCGAAGCTAGCGAGCGAGTCAAATTTTTAAACAAAAATACACTGTTGTTTTGATTCAACCCAGCCAATGACGTCACTTCCGGCAATATAACCCGAAGATAATTTTTCAAAATTTTATCCAAGATGGCGGGCAAAGTATCAAATTTGAATGCAAATAACTGGTCGATAAAAGAGTTTGATAAAGAATTATTGTTTTTTTTATTGTTAGATACCCCAAACGTTTTAAAATAGCCAATAAAAATTTTCGTTGCCAATGTCCTTTAACTAAGTTGAATAACAATAAAGCTCAAGGTCCGGACGGAATCCCAGCATGGATGTTAAAGGAAACCTCATTCCAAATCACTGCTTCACTATGCGCACTCTTCAACAAATCCCTACGTTGTAGTGTCCTTCCTGACGAGTGGAAGTTAACAAATGTCGTGCCTGTATTTAAACGCGGTGAAAAATCGTACGTAGAAAACTAGCGTCCAATTTTGATCATAATTTGCATATGAATCATAATAAATGATGGTTGCAATGGCAACCATGACGCTCATTATTATGATTTTGATCATAATTAGCATATTAATCATAATAAATGATGGTTGTTATGGCAACTATGATGATCATTATAATAATCTTGATCATAATTAGCATATTAATCATAATAAATGATGGTTTCCATAGCAACTATGATGATCATTATGTTGATCTTGATCATAATTAGCATATTATTCATATTAAATGATGGTTGCTATGGCATCATTATCACGATTTTGATCATATTTAGCATATTATTCATAATAAATGATGGTTGCTATGGCAACCATGATGATCATTATCATGATTTTGATCATAATTAGCATATTGGCTATAATATATGTCGGTTGCTATAACAACCATGATGATCATTATGATGATTTTGACCATAATTAGTATATTAATCATAATAAATTATGGTTGATATGGCAACTATGTTGATCATGATGATGATCTTGATCATAATTAGTATATTAATCATAATAAATGATGTTTGCAATGGCAACCATGATGCTCATTATGCTGATTTTGATCATAATTAGCATATGAATCATCTTAAATTATTGTTAATATGGCAACCATGATGATCATTATCATGATTTTGATCATAACTAGCATATTAATCATATTAAATGATGGTTGCCATGGCAACAATGATGCTCGTTATGATGATTTTGATCATAATTAGCATATTAATCGTAATAAATGATGGCTGCAATGGCAACAATGATGCTCATTATTATGATTTTGATCATAATTAGCATATTAATCATAATAAATTATAGTTGCCATGGCAATTATGATGATCTTTATGATGATTTTGATCATAATTAGCATATTACTCATAGTAAATGATGGTTGCCATGGCAACAATGATGCTCATTATGATGATTTTGATCATAATTAGAATATTATTCGTAATAAATGATGGTTGCCATGGCAACTATGACGCTCATTATGATGATTTTGATCATCAATAGCATATTAATCATACTAAATGATGGTTGCCATGGCCACTATGATGATCATTATGATGATTTTGATCATAATTAGAATATTAATCAAAGTAAATGATGGTTGCCATGGCAACTATGATGATCATTATGATGATCTTGATCATAATTACCATATTATTCATAATAAATTATGGTTGCCATGGCAACCATGATGCTCATTATGATGTTTTTGGTCATAATTAGAATATTAATAATAGTAAATGATGGTTGCCATGGCAACTATGATGATATATATGATGATCATTATCATAATTAGCATATTAGTCATAATAAATGATGGTTGCTAGGGCAACCATGATGATCATTATGATGATTTTGACCATAATTAGCATATAAATCACAATAATTGATGGTTGCCATAGCAACTATGATGATCATGATGATGATCTTCATCATAAGTAGCATATTAATCATAATAAATGTTTGCCATTGCAACCATGATGATCATTATGATGATTTTGACCATAATTAGCATATTAATCATAATAATTGATGGTTGCTATAGCAACTATTATAATCAAAATGATGATCTTGATCATATTTAGCATATTAATCATAATAAATGATGTTTGCAATGGCAAACATGATGCTCATTATGATGATTTTGATCATAATTAGCATATGAATCATATAAAATTATGGTTGCCATGGCAACTGATATGATCATTATGATGATTTTGATCATAATTAGCTTATTTATCGTAATAAATGATAGTTGCAATAACAACTATGTTAATGAGTATGATGATTTTAATCATAATTAGCGTATTAATCATAAAAAATTATGGTTGTCATGGCAACAATGACGCTCATTATGATGATTTTGATCATGATTAGCATATTAATTGTAATAAATTATAGTTGCCATGGCAACTATGATGATCATTATGATGATTTGGTCATAATTATCATATTAATCATAATAAATAATGGTTGCTATTGCAATCATGATGCTCATTATGATGATTTTGATCATAATTAGCATATTAATCATAGTAAATGATGGTTGCCATGGCAACTATGTTGATCATTATGATGATTTTGACCATAATTAGCATATTAAACATAATAATTGATGGTTGCTATGGCAACTATGATGATCATTACGATGATTTTGATAATAATTAGTATATTAATCATAATAAATGATGGTTGCCAGAGCTACCATGATGATCATTATGATGATTTTGATCATAATTAGCAAATGAATCATAATAAATGATGGTTGCCATGGCAACTATGATGATCATTATGATGATATTGATCATAATTCGCATATTAATCATAATAAATTATGGTTGCAATGGCAACCATGATGCTCATTATGATGATTTTGATGATAATTAGCATATTAATCATAATAAATGATAGTTGCTAAGGCAACTATGATGCTCATTATGACGATTTTGATGATAATTAGTATATTAATCATAATAAATGATGGTTTCCATGGAAACCATGATGATCATTATGATGATTTTGACCATAATTAGCATATTAATCATAATAATTGATGGTTGCCATGGCAACTATGATGATCATGATGATGATTTTAATCATAATTAGCATATTAATCATAATAAATGATGTTTGCAATGGCAACCATGATGCTCATTATGATGATTTTGATCATAATTAGCATATTAATCATAAAAAATGATGTTTGCAATGGCAACCATGATGCTCATTATGATGATTTTGATCATAATTAGCATATTTATCATAATAAATAATATTTGCTATTGCAACCATGACGCTCATTATGATGATTTTGATCATAATTAGCATATTAATCATAATAAATGATGGTTGCCATGGCAACTATGATGATCATGATGATGATCTTGATCATGATTAGCATATTAATCATAATAAATGATGTTTGCCATAGCTACCATGATGGTCATTATGATGATTTTGATCATAATTAGCATATGAGTCATAATAAATGATGGTTGCCATGGCAAAAATGATGATCATTATGATGATTTTGATCATAATTAGCATATTAATCATAATAAATTATGGTTGCAATGGCAACGATGATGCTCATTATGATGATTTTCATCATAATTAGCATATTAATCATAATAAATGATAGTTGCTATGGCAACTATTATGCTCATTATGATGATTTTGATGATAATTAGCATAATTATCATAATAAATGATGGTTGCCCTGGCAACCATGACGCTCATTATGGTGATTTTGATCATATTTTGCATATTAATCATAATAAATGATGTTTTCCATGGGAACTATGATGATCATGATGATGATCTTGATCATAATTAGCATATTAATCATAATAAATGATGTTTGCAATGGCAACCATGATGCTCATTATGATGATTTTGATCATAATTAGCATATTAATCATAATATTTGATTGTTGCCATTGCAACTATCATGATCATGATGATGATCTCGATCATAATTAGCATATTAATCATAATAAATGATGTTTGCCATAGCTACCATGATGATCATTATGATGATTTTGATCATAATTAGCATATTAATCGTAATAAATGATGGTTGCTATTGCAACCATGACGCTCATTATGATGATTTTGATCATAATTAGCATATTAATCATAATAAATTATGGTTGCAATGGCAACGATGATGCTCATTATGATGATTTTCATCGTAATTAGCATATTAATCATAATAAATGATAGTTGCTATGGCAACTATTATGCTCATTATGATGATTTTGATGATAATTAGCATAATTATCATAATAAATGATGGTTGCCCTGGCAACCATGACGCTCATTATGGTGATTTTGATCATATTTTGCATATTAATCATAATAAATGATGTTTGCCATGGGAACTATGATGATCATGATGATGATCTTGATCATAATTAGCATATTAATCATAATAAATGATGTTTGCAATGGCAACCATGATGCTCATTATGATGATTTTGATCATAATTAGCATATTAATCATAATAAATGATGGTTGCCATGGCAACTATGATGATCATGATGATGATCTTGATCATAATTAGCATATTAATCATTATAAGTGATGTTTGCCATTGCAACCATGATGATCATTATGATGGTTTTGACCATAATTAGCATATTCATCATAATATTTGATTGTTGCCATTGCAACTATCATGATCATGATGATGATCTCGATCATAATTAGCATATTAATCATAATAAATGATGTTTGCCATAGCTACCATGATGATCATTATGATGATTTTGATCATAATTAGCATATTAATCGTAATAAATGATGGTTGCTATTGCAACCATGACGCTCATTATGATGATTTTGATCATAATTAGCATATTAATCATAATAAATGATGTTTGCAATGGCAACCATGATGCTCATTATGATGATTTTGATCATAATTCGCGTATTAATCATAATAAATGATAGTTGCTATGGAAACTATGATGCTCATTATGATAATTTTGATC